TTTTAATATTAACAAAAACATTGAAAATCGAAATTATCGTTTTTTGGGAAAAGCAGTTCTGTCTGTCCTTTCTAAATATTAGTTTGGACCACTTGAGTCATGGATATAGAAGCCACCCCCCAAAAATAATCATGTGATGAAAGATACCATTAGTTCACATACGTTAAGTGATTGAGAAATGTTTATGATAATAGATTGGATATTAAGTTTAGTATACTATAAATATTAATATCAATAGCAAAAGGGTAAGGAAATTAATATATATACTTGGAAGGGAAAAAAAGGATGAAAGCTTAGTAAATGGGATGCAATCAAGACTTAATTAAACATTTAATGGCCCTAACATTCTCAACCACCAATATCAATAATATAACGGGGGAATGGACCATTTGATTGTTGTAGATGCTAATCATTAAACTCAATCCTTTTCTTTTGCTTAGTCAAATGAACCTAAGTAAATATTATATTAATAAATAGTATTATTTTTCCCTTCTATTTTGCAAATTCATTTTTTATTTATTATTATAGAATTATTACATATCAAAGCTGACGTTCTATTAAAGCCTTAGAAACTTACTGAGTTTATCTTTGTGTTATTATTTCTTATCTCTCGAATCCAATCTTAAAATCTTACAAATCATTTAAGTGTATATAATAATTTACTTATGAAAAGTTATTCTACACGTGTGTTTAAAAATTAATTAAAATTATGTTAAATTACATTTCAATTTGAAAGTTATAACTTGTAATTTTTGAAATAGATTCATGTTCCAAAATTTTGATCTGAATTTCATCAAATAATATTGAATTTATTGAAAATTAGTTATTATTTTTCTATTTTTTTAATCTTATAAATAATTTATGCTCATATAAAATAATTATAACTGTTCATTTTTAGTCATTTAATACATTTAACTAGCTATACAATTAATTTTATTAAATAACTCTAATTCAATCAACTAATTAGTTATAAGTTACTCTTAGCTAAAATTATATGTTCAAATAGTTTATCAATGAGTTCTTGATTAATTTTTACCTTAAAGACTCCCAAACTGAAGAGAAAAAGTAGTGTAGGGATGTATGTGCATTTGTTATACTAGTAAATAACTTTTATATAATATAAAAACTAAACATATGTTTTTATAAAAATAAATAAATACTTTAATAAATAAATATATTTTCTAACTATTATAAATAATCTTAAAAAAATATATTTTTATTACATTTTGTATTTTTAAAAAAATTTCATTGTTGATTATTTCATTTTATTTTTCTCTCAAATTCTTTCCTTAAAAGTAGCAGAATAATTTCCTGTTTTTGTGACTTTAGTTGACGTGTGGTCTACCTCAAACGATTAAAAGGTCTAAAAATTTTCAAATTTGTGCTAAAAGGCAAAACCCCACCACCTATCAATCAAACATTTACTTTATTCATGGGGGATTAAAAGTCAATATTAATAAAAAGATTATTGAAATTAATGTTAACCAATCCCACCAGATCAATAGCCTTGAATGGAAATACTTGAACAGCATGAGAAAGGGTCGTTTTTAATGATTTTTTATTATTAAAATAACTAAAATAATATTATTTTTATACTTTTAAGTTCTATTTTTGTTAGAAAGGATCATGAGAATTATTGGAAAAAAACATTATAATATTATTAGTTGAAGGATGAGGCGAATTAATTAAATGCCGACAAGTGATCGGATTCGATAAAGACAGATTAAGAGTGTAATGGCTCAAAGAGGGTGGTGATATGAACTCTAATTTCTTTTGCGAAAAGAACAACAGCTAGAGAAAACAAAATTAGAATATCAAAACTGAAAGATAAAAAAAAATTAACAGTTTTACTAACATCATCTTTCAAAGTTGATTTTAAATATAAAAGACAATATTTTTTATAATTTAATGTTTTTGACATAATAAATATTTATCATTTTAATAAAATTATATTCCGTCCTGAAATTTTATATAAACTTTTTTTAAAACTAATAATCTAAAGTTTAATATTACTTATTTTTATTTTTTTTCAGTTAGTGGACTTTTATTTGAGTTTTAATAATAAAGATTGAATTTAGAGAAAGGCCTGTGTCCCATTTTAATAGATATTAACATATTATAAAAGAATTCAATATGAAAATGATCTTTGGCACAGTGAGTTACTTAATGGAAGTGTTTGTTTACACAAACTCAAAGAGCATATTTGGTGATTTCAATGAAGCGAGTAATATTAAATGAACGTAATTTTATCAACTATTGTTTTTAATCAATGATTGAAGATACATAAATAAAAAATCAATAAATAGTAAAATTTTATTAAAAATAAAAATATATAATATTAATATATTAATTTTACAATATCTTATTATTTTTAATAAAAATTATTACATGTAAATTTTTATTGTACACTCTTAAATGTTTATCAGTCTTTAACTAGACACGAATTGAATTCATTGTGTTAATCCTGAACATCCAAAACCCGTAGTTGTATGGCTGTTTGGGATAAAGAAAATTTTCTAAATTAAAAATCATCTTGAGGGAAACTACATTTCAACAAGTTTTGAGGGTTAAGAAGGAGCAAAAAAATAGGCTTCAACATAAGAGAATATTGAAAGATTATCCAAGACCTTTAATTTTATTAAAAGGGACACATTTCGAGCTATTTTAAGATATTTTTGTCACATTGTTGATTTTTCTTTAAACTGCTCAAAAAAATAGGACTTACAAGAAAATATTCTAAGTCTACAAAACTAAAGGCTTTTTCGAGTAGTTTGAGGGGTTTCCAAGTCACTGACACCCAAAACTGCTCAAAAAATAGGATTGACAAAAAAATATTCTAAGTCCACAAAAATTAATGGTTTTTCAAGGCGTTTTTGGGGAATTTTCAAATCCTTGATGCCCAAAACTGTTCGAAAAACAGGAAGTGGACAGAAAATATTCTAAGTCCACAAACATGGCTGAGCTCCAGTCCCTCCAGAATTGCTCGAGAAACAGAAATGAACAAAGAAAATATTCTAAGTCTACAAGACCAAGATAAGCTCTCAAAACTCCAAAATTGCTCGAAAAGAGAAGTCAAGAAGAAATTATTCTAAGACCATAACACTAAATAAGTCTCTTAGATTTCTCCCAAAAATACTCGAAAGAAAGAAAAATAAGAGTCTTGATAGGTCAAGTCATTGCAAAATTCAAAAGCGGTTACCAGCAGTTATCAACATGCACCACTACACAAAAGAGATCGTGGACAATAACGGTTAAGAAAGAAGCCCCAACCAACAAACACGATCACAAACAATGGTGGATAATAAGCATCAACAGTTGAAGGAAGTTACTAAGAAGTGCCCGCAAAAGGAGAACGGTGGTGGTCTTCATGTCTATAAATACTCTAAAGCACCATTTTACAAAGGATGACTTTTTGTACCCTGACACCCGCACCTAAAATTCTCTGCACGCTAAAACCCTGCACCGCACCAGACACCAGCTACAAGGAGACTCACGGGAGCCGCTGTTCGCTGTTGTGAGGAATCGTACGTTTACATTCATGCACCTTTACATTCTTGCATTTACCTTTCTGCATTTTAATTTCAGTTCTTGTTGCTTATATCTTTGTACGCTGTTTATTTCATGTTTATTACATTTTTGTAAAAGCATCTACGTTTGATTCAATTCTGCACAATTACTATTCTCTATTCTTGCTTAATACTCTTTTACGTCGTTAATTTGAGCACTACGTTAACAACACACTTAAAACAACCCAAAGAGGACCTAAATCCAGTCTCCAGATTAATCTTTGGATTATTTGTTTACAAATTGTCATTTTTCACCATGAACAATGACTAATTACATACCAATATCTCTTTGTAATGTAATTTAAAACAACAGTTTTGTTAATCATTATGCTTAGAATAATAATTAAAGAATAAAAAACCTTTAATTTATCAATTCCGTAGCCATGGATGTTAATAACACTCAAACCCAGCAATACCTGATTGATTGCTAGCTCATTCTTCATGCTCTAATTAAAAAACTGGTCACGTCTCATGCTTCAATCACTTTGATGGTGCGTCTTTTGCTTGTTTTGCTAAATCTCATGCTTCTTCTTGTATGCGATAGAGGATCCTATGAATTCCTATTAAAGGGAAAAACATTCATGAATCCCTAAAAAACATTCATAAATAGCTTTTTATCTTATTTAATATTGCACAAATTAAAACAAATCTATTAAAAAATATAAATAAATATTTTAAAATAAATTTATATACGTGATTAGTATATAAAAATACTTACGAAATACTTCCATCATGCCAGCTGAAGTTGGTGTGAAGTCAGTGTCCTATTATCATGACGCTTGAAAGTTTTGGCAAAAGGTTGCCAAAACATGCGCTGTGGCTCGTTACATTATAGAATTCTTTTTTATCCCAAATTGCGATCAATTTGTAATTAGTTTAACTATTTTTAATTTATAATTAAAACAAACAAACTAGGAGACTAGACGTGGGTTGTCATTTTCATCATAACATTATAATAAATAATATACTCGTGACCAAAAAATAATTATTAATCGTGGTTCCTATTAAAGTTATGGATCTTGTCTATCCGTATGCTATGCTAAAACCTGTACCCTCCGCAAGTGGTCATTTTACAGTGAATCAATGGATTCCGTAAGAGGTTTGTAGAATGAAATCTGGTTAGAGAAAAACTAAAGATTTTCTTACTGTTTTTAAGTGACAAGAAAATTTTAATAAATATGGTATTTATAATAAGTAATTTGTTAATAAGTGCTTATTAGTTAATTTTTTAAAATAAAATTAATAACAATAATATTTACATAAAAAGTGGTAATAAACACACAAGAATATTAGCTTCGTACAACGTTAACAAAACTTACAATGCCTAATAAATTCTGCGACAGACAAGCACACCATCAGAAATTCAGCAGGAAAAAGATAAAAGATACTTGTTCGAAAAACAGCACATCATGGAAGACCAACCATTATTACGGTAATAAATGGAGGTGAGAAGCCAGGAATATGTCGCCCAAGACCACAAATTATTGAAAGCAAGTCCCAGTAAAGCTTCATTATGATCAGTAAATATTTTAGTTTCCTACTCTGTGTGTGAGCTGTTGTAGCATTGATATACTACCATAAACCAAACTGAAAATTTCAGCAACAAAACATTACATTCATAATAAGATTTATATCAACACGACATATATATATATATATATAATATAAGCCCCACCCAGGCACCCCTTTTATCTGAAGTGGTGATAGCTATTAGCTAGCTAGCTAGCAAGTTTGGTAATGGTGGTTGGTGTATTTGATTAATTGTTGGGAGAAGATGCAATGCATTTGTAGGCTGATAGAATAGTGACTCCCAAATAGGCAAGGAATGCAACATAAGAAAGCAAAAGTGAAACCAAGTTTGTTCTGCAGAACTTGCGCACATGGTCACAAACTGGTTGCCACCCCACATGCTCCTCTCCAAACTGTCCCACGTACCCTATAGCAGTCGCTGCTGCACATCCAGCTATCAACAACACCGTCATCACCTAAAGTCAAATTCAAATCGTCACATACCATCAAATCTTTTATTCTTTTCCTACGCATTTTTGTTCGTCAATTGCAAGTCAAATAACACCAAACCCTTTCTCACTTCACAGACCAGGTTACATTACAACAATTACGTTAATCAAATAATACTATAATGTTTTCCTTTTCTTGTATATTTATTTAATCGCAAGACAACAAAACAAACATGTTCCTGAATTGTCTATTATTGTGAGCATTATTGGAGAAGAAGAAAATGGCTTTTTTTTGTCAAATTTTTAAGATCATTTTTGAAAAATACACGATTGGTTTTCTAAATTAAATTATCACCAAACAAAAGCTAAGCTTACTATGTCGTGCGTAATTAGAACGAAATAGTAGTCTTTTCTTCGCGACGCTTGTTGTCTCATGAGAAGTTTGACTATGAGTGTCAGCAGGGACAGAGCAGTGACTACCCCATTTGCAGCAACGAAAAACCTGTGGTACAGGGAAAACAGAGAGAGAAATTAAAAATAAAAAAGAAAATAAAAAAAGATGATATTTTGAAGACATATGTGTGAAAATGAAAAAAGGGTTGTTGTTGAAATAGAGAAAAATGATGAAATGGGCGTTCTTACTTGAAAGATGGCGAGTAATAGAAGTGGGCTTGGAAGCGTATAGAGAAGAGTAAAACGGTCTGGGTATTGGTGACCATAACAACAATCGAAGCAGCAGAGAGGAGAATGGCAAGGATTCTGAGGGTGTCTTGAGCCATGAAGAAAGAGGTATGTTGCTGATGTTGTGAGGGTGAAGTTGAGGAAGATTTGGAATCCACCATAGATGAATCTTTGGCATCAGCCATATGGGAAACCGTTTTGAGATGCTTTATGCGAAGAGAAATGGATAGAAAGCTTAATTGGGGAACAATGACACAGAATAAAAGGTAGAGAGTGAGGGAAGGAGGAATATCTCCAGCTTTTATTCAGGAAAGTGGAGAGAGAGAGAGAGAGAGAGAGAGAGAGAGAGTCAGATGGAACTTGGAAGCAAGAATGAAATTGACCTTGTGGAAACACTGGTGGTGTGTGTATGCACGCATTTAAGAGAGATTCAGTGTATAAATGTCATATAATGTTTAATTTTTTTTTATTTTTTACATACATATTTTGAAAATATATTTAAAATTGAAGAAATTATTTTTTATTATTCTAAATTTGTTTAAAGAAACATTTTTTCTTAAGAAATTAAAAGCAAGTGCAGAGAGAGAGAGAATTTGGTAAGAAAAGAAGAGGGGATACTAAAATGGTAAACTGATTGATTACGGGTAAGGCCTGATTGGATAACAACAAATCGAGTTTTGACGAAATTAATGCATTTTTTGTGAAGGCACAAACAGGATTTCAAATAGCTATTCTGTTGTAAATTGTTTAATTTTTTCCATTTAATAATATTTACATTTTCGTTAATAAGACTTAAAAATGTTTAATTTTTTTAAGTAAAGAAAATTTATTATCATTCTTGTACACCTATATCATCATTTTGATTATTATTTAAAATATTTTTATTGTTAAATAAAAATTACTTAAATAAAGTAGTAATATAAATTTAAGAGCCACATTAGATATACCTTTTAAATAGAATCAATTTTTTTTTCACTTAAATTAATATAAATGTTGTTAAGGACCTGTTCAATTTAAAATTACTTTTATCCTTTTACTTTCGCAATAAATTTTTTTAATTTTTAAATATTTGTATGGTAAACAGCCAAAAGAAAATTTTATTAGTTTCTATAAAATATTAAAAAAAATAAAAACAATTCATAATTTTGTAATTATTTATAAAAGTAAATATGCAAAACATTTTCTCAAATTTATCTACTTTTACGGCACATGTTCTATGTGAACTTAAAGTATGTCTCAGTTTATTTATTTGCATATGTGTGGCGCACTATGTATTTATTTCAGATTTTGTTTGGTGCACTACATTTTACACATAATAATAATAATAATAATAGATCATAAATTTAATTTATGTAAGCGCATCTCATCGGTTTTTGACAATTTGTTTTACATTCACTCATTTTGTATTAAATTTTAATATCTTTATTTGTGTCACTTAAAATAGCTTTGGATAAATAAGATAACGAGTTATTAATCCTGTCTATATTTATATACGTTAAGCTTTATTAATTATGCACTTTTAATAAATTAAAAAGGGACTATTAAAATTAAAAAAATAAAAATAAGAGAGAAAAGTTGTATAATTAATTATTAAAATTTTAGTTAAAATATATAATTAATGAAACTTGTGTACATTTGCACAAGATAAATCGATAAGTAAATTAGATGTTTTTCGTAAAGGAGTTTATATCGCATGTTTAATAATAAAATTGATTGAAATAAATTTAAAATAATAATTTTGATTAATTTCATCAAAAAATTTATTTTAAAAAATTTAAAATTATAAAAATATCATAAACACTAATAAAGTTTGCCTAACAATTTTTTTTTCAATTTGTTATTATAATATCTATTGAGAAAATGATCGTACCGTTCTTTGTTTTTTTCTTTTTTAAAATTTTTTTATCCCTATCTTATTATATATATTATTTTAGCTTCAATTCATTTTTCACCCAATAGCAGGAATGAAAATAAATTAAATTGTAAGCTTAGATATGTAATTCTTATAAATCTTAATAAAATTTTTTATAAAGACTTGTTATAAAATATATTATATTTATAGACACTAATTACATATTTAAATTTAAATTATATTAAGCTTTATAAGAGTAACATTTGACTATTTTTTCAGGTTTGAGCCAGATTATTTATTTGATACACAAAATTTTAAAAGTTTAAGTTGATCATTTTTAAAGAACAGCATTTTTGAAAGCTTATTCTATGCCATTGTTGTAACAAAGTCTAGGTTAAATTATACTTTTAGTTCTCATAATTAATATTTGTTTATAAATTAGTTCTTATATTTAAAAAGTTATGTTTTAATTTCTATACGAATGTTTTATTATATTTTAGTTTTCATTATTTATGTTTTTTGTCTTGTTAATATTTTTAAAAGTGTTATAATAGTAATGACTAAAATTTAACAACTTTTTAAAAATATATAAATTAATTTATAAACAAATATTAATTATAGGAATAAAATGTGTATTTTAATAAAAAAAATAAAAGATATTTTTGGTGAATTTATTTAAAATAAATTAAAAATAAGGTACTGAATAAAATAATTTTAAATTTTAAAAAAATTAAAAACTCATTTATTTCAATTAAAGATCATTTATAGTTTAAGATCACATATTTATTAACAGAATTTATTGATTTGATGAATATATAAATTAATAAAAATTAATAAGATTTTTGTTAAGCATTAATAGTAAAATTTTATTAGAAAGAAAAATATTTATTATATTTTTATAACATTTTTTCATAATTTTTTTATTTATAGATGCTTAAACTTAGTCCTATGGACTGAAGTTAACAAAATTTAAATAATAATTATAGTTAATAAAATATTAAAAATAATTCATAAATAACAAATATTTTTATATTTTATTTAAAAAGGAAACTAGATATGTCTAGATATTTATTTTCATAGATAAAATATAAAATTGATAGAGAAAATAACATAAAGATCAATTAACAAGATTTTGAGTCAACATAATAAGAATTGTTTACTTATATTATAATAAAAAAAAGTTATAAATTTATTTCTATAATAAATTTAATTTTCTACAATTTCAAATAACAAATATAATTTCACATATTAAATATAATAAATATTTAATTTTTCATATAATTTTTTTCAAAAATACTATAAAAATTAATTTATTATATAAAATATTATATATAAATTGATATTGTTACATGTTACAAACTTATAATAAAAATACTATAATAGTTATATTGTATTCATTCTTATAAAGTCGTGATGAAAGGTAAAATATAAAATTAAATAAAATATTTTTAGACTTATTTAAAATTTTAGTTTTTGAAAAATTTACACAATTTTGAATTTAATTTTTATAAAAATGTTTATTAAAATTTAGTCTCTAACATTTTGAATTTATTAAAAACTGATTTTAACTAAGATCTCTTAAATGATGAGATAAATAACTAAAGTGCAATTTATTATTGTCACATCATTTATACTTTTATAATTATTTTTATAAGAACTAAATTTAAAAATGTATAATTAATTATTAAAAATTTAGTTAAAATATATAATTAATGAAACTTGTGTAAATTTGCACAAGATAAATATATAAGTAAATTAGATGTCTTTCATAAAGGAGTTTATATAGCATGTTTAATAATAAAATTGATTGAAATAAATTTAAAATAATAATTTTGATTAATTTCATCAAAAAATTTAAAAATATAAAACTATCATAAACACTAATAAAGTTTGTCTAAAATCTTTTATTTCTTTTTTCAATTTATTATCGTAGTATCTATTGAGAAAATGATCATACTATTCTTACTTTTTTTAAAAAAAAGTTTTATCCTAATCTTATTGTATATATTATTTTAGCTTTAATTTATTTTTCATCAAATAGCAGGAATGAAAATAAATTAAATTATAAGCTTAAATATGTGATTGAACCTTATAAATATAGTATATTTTGTAATAAATTTTTATAAATTTTTTATTAATATTAAGTCTTTCAAATATTAAGATGTTAAAATTTAGTCTTGCCAACTTGTTTCAGTTAAATGTTGAGATAACTGAGTTGACATGACATATTATTTTATTTTATAATATTTTATTATTTAAAATTAATATTTTTAAATATATATTTTAAATATTTGTAAAAAAGTCCCTTTTCTCTTTATCACACAACTCAGCATTTAAAGAAAATAAATAAATTTTAACTTTTTAACATTTGAAAGACTAAATTTTAATAATTTTTTTATAAAAACTTATTATAAAATATGCTATATTTATTAGAACTAATAATATATTTAAGGCTAAATTATATTAAGCTTTATAAGAGTAACATTTGACTATTTTTTTAAAGTTTAATTCTAATTATTTATTTGATACAAAATTTTTTAAAGGTTTAAGTTGATCATTTTTAAAGAGCAACCTTTTTAAAATCTTATTCCATGCCATTGTTGTAACAAAGCCTAGATTAAATTATACCTTTAATTATTATAATTAACATTTGTCTACAAATTAGTCTTTATATTTAAAAAGTTGTAATTTAATTTTTATATGGATGTTTTATTATGTTTTAGTCTTGTTTATGTTTTTATCTTGTTAACACTTTTAAAAGTGTTTTAACAGTAATGACTAAAATTTAACAAAACACTTATACAAGATTAAAACATAAGTTTCTTTTTTTTTTTAATATAAAAATTCAAGGAATCAAGTGTGTATTTTAACTAAAAATAAAAAATATTTTTAGTGAATTTATTTAAAATAAATTAAAAATAAGATACAAAATAAAATTTTTAAATTTTAAAAAATTGAGAACTCATATATTTTAGTTAAAAGATCATTTATGGTTTAAGATCACATATTTATTGATAGAATTTATTGATTTGATGAATATATAAATCAATAAAAAATACTAGTTATAGTTGATAAAATACTAAGAATAATTCATATATGATAAAGACTTTTTTATCAAGGTTTAAAAAAAATTAAATATACTTAGATATTTATTTTCATAAATAAAATATATAATTGATAGAAAAATAACATAAAGATCAATTAATGAGATTTTGAGTCAATATAACAAGAATTACTTACTAATATCATAATAAAAAAAAGTATAAATTTATTCATATAATAAATTGATCTTCTAAAATTTTGAATAACAAATGTAATTCCATATATCTAATATAACAAATATTTAATTTTTTAAAGATATTATAAAAATTAATTTATTGTATAAAAAATATATTATATATAAATTGGTATAGTTACATATTACAAACTTACAATAAAAATATTATAATATTCATAGTTTATTCATTCTTATAAAGGCATAATCAAAGATAAAATAGAAAATTAAGTAAAATATTTTAAACTTAGAATTTTAGT